AGTTGCTTTCTCATACGCGATCAATCGGTTGATTTCTCGGGTGTTCAGAATGAGTTGGTAACTGTGTAGTTGTATTTAAGGGACAAGACAAGTTTAGAGTCTCCCTGTTTCTCCACGGTCTTTTTTTTGTTTGTTTTTTTACTTTATTAGAGAGAGACACAGAGAGTGAGTGTGAATGACAGAGAGAGAGAGAGAGAGAGCGCGAGCTCAAGTGAAGGGGAAGGACAGAGGGAGAGGGAGAAGCAGGCTCCCCACTGAACAGGGAGCCTGATGCAGCACCCAGGACCCAGAATCATGACCTGAGCTGAAAAGAGACCCTTAACTGAGCCACCCAGGCACTCCTCCTCCACCATCTTAATTCCTCCTCCCTTTACCTGCCTTTTTAACAGTTAAAACCATTATGATTGACTTGAAGTTGACATAAGAATACTAATCTGGAAACCTACCTTCCCTCAGCTTGGATTTCAGGAAAGGCAATATTTCAGGCACTAGTAGTCAGCATTAGTCAAGAGAAAATGAATTTTTTATTGCAATAGATTTGAAGTTTAGGGGCCGCCTGGGTGGCTCAATTGGTTAAGCAACTGCCTTCAGCTCAGACCATGATCCTGGAGTCCTGGATTGAGTCCCATCAGGCTCCCAGCTCCATGGGGAGTCTACTTCTCCCTCTGACCTTCTCCCCTCTCATTCTCTCTCTCTCTCTCTCAAATAAATAAATAAAATCTTAAAAAAAAAAAAAAGAATTGAAGTTTATCATAACAACTTTGTTTTTATTTTTTCTTCCATAAGTCAAACATTATCACAATTGCGTCTTTGAATCATTACTGTACTAACAAATATAGACTATTTCTGTACTCTTACCATGTCACTTATTTAATAGTTGTTACAGGCTGTCCTATTACTAGTTTATTTTATAATGATAGATAATTTTCAAATACTCTTCATTGTGAAATAATTTCAAACTTTCAACTTCTGCCCAGTTCTAATGTGATACCTTAATGCATTATGTTACAGGTATTTGTTTACTCAGTCTGCTTCCATTTAAGACTATGATTTCTTTGTATTCTTATTCCCTGGTTTATATCTATTACATAACATAAACTCAAAGAATAAATGACTAACTTATTATTTGCAAGATGGGAAATTGAAGTCCTTGAGTTTTCAATAGTTTTTTGCTCTAATTTCCTTATTTATATCCCAACAATATCAGCTTTTAATTTAAAAATTTAATAATTGAAAGTGAAAATGCCTACTTGAAACCTCTTACAGATAGTTATATAGTTTTTCATTTTAGTAACATCTAGCCCTCTTGCTGTTTATCTTACTATGGTCTTACTTACTATATCACTTGTATATGTTGTATAATATGAATTAAGTTAAATACCATTAGTGTTTTCATCATTCATTCACAGCACTTTCAATCTAGGAAGTAATTCTCAAATCAAGGTTTGAACACTATTTCCATTAGCAAGGATAAATAATAATATTAAAGAGTTTAAATGTGCAGTTTTTAATAAACTTCATGTGGCTGAATTAGGTTGTTTTATAATGGAAACCAGAATGTCACTTATCAATTTATATTTAAGACAAGAAATATCCCAAAGTATCTAGAATATGTAAGTACCTTATTTGTGATACTCTTTTCTTTCTTTCTTTCTCTTTCTTTCTTTCTTTCCTTTTTTCTTTCTTTCTTTCTTTCTTTTAAGTTAACAAGCAGTTTGTTTTATTTTAAAATCTAGGATGAGATACTTGGTTTCAACAGCTTATTTTTCAGTAACTTTTGAGGTGACCATATGAAGTACAGTATTGTGATGCCTCCAGCTTTGGAACTTTTCTTTTTCAACATTCCTTTGCTATTTGGGGTCTTTTCTGGTTCCATACAAATTTCAGAATTATTTGTTCCAGCTCTGTGAGAAAAGCTGATGGTGTTTTGATAGGGATTGCATTGAGTGTATAGGTAGGTAGCATAGACATTTTAAAGATATTTGTTCTTCCAATCCAGGAGCATGGAACATTTTTCCATTTCTTTGTGTTTTCCTCAATTCCAGGAAAGAAATAGTTTTCTGAGTATAGATCCTTTGCCTCTTTGGTTAGGTTTATTCCTAGGTATCTCACGGTTTTTGGTGCAATTGTAAATGGGATCGACTCCTTAATTTCTCTTTCTTCTGTCTCATTGTTAGTGTATAGAATACATCTGATTCCTGTGCATTGATTTTATATCCTGCCATGTTGCTGAATTCCTGTATGAGTTCTAGAAATTTTGGGGTGGAGTCTTTTGGGTTTTCCACACAGAGTATCATGTCATCTACAAAGAATCAGTGTTTGACTTCTTTGTTGATTTGGATGCTTTTTATTTCTTTTTGTTGTCTGATTGCTGAGGTTAGGACTTCCAGTGCTATGTTGAATAACAGTGGTGAGAGTGGACATCCCTGTGTTCCTGACCTTAGGGTAAAGCTGTTTTTCCCAATTGAGAATGATATTCACTGTTGGCTTTTCATATATGGCTTTTATGCTATCGAGGTATATTCCTTCTATCTCTACCTTGTAAAGAGTTTTAATCAGGAAACTTTGCTGCACTTTGTCAAATGCTTTTTCTGCATCTATTGAGAGGATCCTATGGTTCTTGTCCTTTCTTTTATTTATGTAGTATATCTCATTGATTGATTTGTGGATTTTGAACCAACTTTGCAGCCCAGCAATAAATAAAGAGAAGAAAAAATTAAAATTGAAAGACCAAAGAACCATGGTGAGAAAAAAACCAATAATGAATTCTGTATGAAAAAATTCCCCTAGCACTGGAGTTTTGCAGTTCTAAATGATGGGTAAAAGGTTTTGGCTGGATCTTCCTGCCTATCTTCTGAGGGAGGTTTCTGTTGTGGTGATCCTCTAGTGCCCCCCCACACCCCAGGGTGGAATTGTACCGCCCTTGCCAGGGGCCAGGCTAAGTAATCTGCTCCAGATTGCTTTTTGTGGCTTTTGTTCCCTGAAGGCTTTCCAGCACAGCTTTAGAGAATGAGAACGACAATGGTGGCCTCCCAATCTCTAGTTCCAGAGCTGAGAGCTCTGGGCACCATTTCTCAGTGCACCCTGGGGTAAATGCTGTCAATCACTCTTGTCTTCCTGGACTCCATCTGCATTCTGTGCTCACCCAGGCTATGACCAGCCATTTCTGTCTCACTCATGTGACCCTGTTTGGAGTCTCCAAACCCAGCAGCCTGCTGTCGTGCGCTCCTCCCAGGGTAGGATGTCTCACTGGTTCTGCCATGGTTTGTGGAATATGGCACCCTTGAGCCGAGAGTCCACTCCTGGGCTCATTGAGTGTACCCGGCTCCCTTGCTCCAATGTCTGGCAACTCTTCCATACCCAAGCACCACCCCCTCCCCACTGTCTTCCTGTGACCCCAAGGATCCTGAGACCACACTATCCACCTCGGATTTCACCCTATTTTGCCATCTGAGTGCCTTTCAGGCAAGGAGATCCCTCACCAGAGCAGACTTCTGAAAGTTCTGATTTTGCATTCTGCTGCTATATCACTTATGGTACCAGCTTCTGGAGGCTTCCTCCAGAAGGAGGGAAGCCCTCAGTTTATCTTACCATAAGTCTCCTTGAATTCACTTCTCTGTACCTCCTACCTTGTAGAACGTGGACACTTTTCTATTTTTAAGATCTATTTTTAGATCTCTGGTTGAGTTTACAGGTGTTCAGAATGATTTGATAGCTATCTATGTGCATTCCTCGGGCCAAACTAAACTAAGGTCTTCTACACTCTACTATCTTAGACAGATACTCTCTTTTCTGATATTGAAGTATTTATAAAGCCAAATAAGTGGTCAGAAAGTTCCTTTTTAAGCACTATATTTAAGTAATGGTAGGTAGGTAATCTTGGTGTTTAAGAGCTTAGAGTACTTATCTGATAGATACATGATACTAGTCACAAATGCAAGCTGTTTGATTTAAAATTTTTTTTGTAGTCACATTTTAAAAACTAAAAGAAACAGATGAAGTTAATTTTAAAAATATAATTTGACTCAATATGTCCACCATATTATTTTCGAATGTGTTCGGTACTTTTAAATTAGCCTTTTTTACACTAAGTACTATTAATCTGGTATATATTTTGCATTTAATGTGCATTTCAGTTCCTTCCTTCAATTACTTGTGAAAATTACTGAATCACTCTGTGTATCAAATCCCAATTTTTACAATGGCAACAGATGTTAAGAATTAAATTAGATAATATATGACATGTCTGGCAAATAGTAAGTGTTACATAATTCTTAGCTATTTTCTTTAAAAAAAAAATTCAAACAGGTGACCATGGCAGTAAGACCTCACTGCCTTAAGGCAACATCATATTTTAGGGATTAATTGTAACCCTTAAGCACTCATCTCTTTTCCTTGGACAATCCTGGACACACACATATCTCTTCAACTGCTTGTTTAAATTATTTTTGAAGAGAAACAAAATCATTTTTAGTTCATCAATTGTGAGTCATGCTCATGTACAACACTGATATAAGATGTTAATAACATCTCGAAGGAAGACTGGTGGAGCATCCAGGAAATAGATCTCTTTACTTTGTACTCAATTTTTCTGTAAATTCAAAACTACTCTAAAAAGTAAATTCTATTACAAGCAAACCAAGAAGGCAAATACCATGTCTGTTATTAATTCTTGCTGCATCTTACTTGTGACAGAATCCATCAGTAAAAATGGTGTAATAGTAAAAGCACTATTAAAAGTGCTTTTTAATAATAAAATGATATAAGAGAAGTTTGTAGTTAGAAATATAACTTAATGTTTCCTCTTTTGGTAGTCATTTATTATCCACCTCTTTTTAAGTAATATATGGTAAACTTAAGCATGAAAATGTTGTTTTTACTCTATGGTCATTGGGGTGGGCAATGGGCAATTATTGGTGGCATCCTGATGCTAATGGCAGAAATACTCTGTAAATATATACCGCCATGGTTTTGAGAATATCTTCTTTTCCTAATTTCAGGTTGGGTGGGACTATATCAGCATACAAGATAGTACCAGATGAAATAGAAGAAATCAAGGTATAGTATGCCATTTTTTATCTCTTAGAAGACTTAGTATCTCACCGGGTAGGTGGGGGAAGCATTGCTTTTCCTTTACACTATTTAATCTTTGGGTGTGGGACTTCATTTAAGTCACAGTTATGCTATTTGAGTTAAAAACATAAAATAATCCTCATCAGATTTCAAATTACCATTGTCAGTGCATTTCTATGAAAATTTTTTGGAAGATCAAAAAGGAACACTTCATGTGAAATTCATTGAAAATCTACATAAGAAACATTATATATAGGCATTAGTGTGCATAATGGATTATCTTTCTATCTTGTTTTAATTTATTTTCCCTGTAAGCTTTCACTAATTATAAATACCAGTCTTCTAGAAAATATTTTCTGGTTCCACTGAAAACACAGTATTTGCAATTGCAAATTGGCAATTTAAAATTTATACATTAAATGAAAACTTGACTTTACTCTTTGAAAATTACATAGTCTGCATTCTTCTGTTTTTAACATTTTATTCAATCCTATGGACTGTTCGTCTTCTGGCATATCATGTGGCCCTTCCCCAAGAGCAATTTACAATCTAATAAGAACTGAACCTATTATCTATTATATAAATAAAATTTAACGACTGTAAAGCAATAGTTAAGGATAACAATACTAAGTTGAATTGTTAACAATGACATTTAAAGATCCAAACAAATCATCAAGCTGATTTAATCAGCCTTTCCAAAATCAAGTTCAATAAATTCAAATTTTAGTCAATAATTTCATTTGCTAACATTATTTTCAAATAAGTTAATATCATTGGTCTTTATTATGTAATACACTATTAGTTTCAATATGCCTGGTGTCCTATATAGCCAATCAGAAATTAATCCAATAATTATATTCTAGCAGGAAAAAAATAAACCAGGAGTGTCAAAGACCCATTCCAACTTGATATAAGTTCATATAATACTTTGGTTTAGAGAAACCTTAGGTCCAGTCCAGCTTGTGTTGCTATTAACTTAAAGAGGAGGTATAAGAGAAGGAATAAGTTTGAGAGTAAAGAGGGTAAGCTTTGAACTTAATTGAGGTCCCTCTCAGATAACCAAATACCCATTAAGTCATTGGTTAAATCATCCAGAACCTCAGAAGAAAGATAATTTTATCTTTCAATTGATGTTGGAATTTTTCCTTATCCAAAAACTACCTGAGGCTGCGCTAGTTAATGGAATCACCTAAAAAAGCTATATTAAGTAATAAAAGTAGACCAAAACTGTTGACCTATACAAGAACCAAATGATTCATATATTTTTATTAATTTAATTAATTAGAAGAAACACTGTCTATTTTTTGTCATGACTTTTCTCTAAAGAAGTAATTTTTCATTGTGTTTTTTGAAATTCTAGAATTATAAGAGTTATCCCTCAGTAGATTCCTTCAAAAAAACATGACTCATGGATGACATTACTATATGATTTTTTAAAATTAATTACTGGTGTTATATCTAAAATAGCTTTAGAGAGTTTAAAGCCTGAGGAAAAAATATGAAATTGATTCTTGTTTCAAAAACATTGGAAGAAAGCCTGTTATAAAATATTTCATCAACATTTATTTGATGGCACCATTAGCATTTTCAACTGAAATCAGATATAATCTTTTTGTTTTGATTGGAGGATATGTGAAACATCTGCTTATAATGTTCACTTTAGTTGGTAAATAACCGAGTAATTTAAAATTATCTGAATAGTACAGTGGAGTTTAAATTTGTGAAATACATCTACAATATACCATGTATAAATAAATAAATAAATAAATAAATATGCATGTGTATTTTTATTATTAAAATATGATTGATTAATAGAATATAATTCAATTTTTACAAAGTATGGTGATCTTCACAATATTTCTAGCACCAGAAATTATTATTTAGTTCATACATGGTTTGAATTAAGCACTTACTGATTGATTATAATAAATCACCACATAGTAGATGCTTGGCCAAAAGTTTAAGGGATAAAGTGCAAATGCATTCCTGGCCCAGTCGTGACCATCTGTTCCACCCAATATCCTGAGTTTTTATTATTTCATGAAATTCATTTTATTTAGTTTTATTTTTATACACATCCCTTACTATTAAAATTTGTGTTTCTCTTTGAATTTTATATGAAATGAATCACAATGTATACATTCTCTTGTGCCTTAGTTCTTTGGTTCAGCACTGTGGGATTTATTCATATTCATTATCTATATCATATTCATATGCATTATCTATAGCTAAGATTTTGGGGGAGGTTGTTTTGTTCTTTTTTTGTTTTTGTTTTTATTTTTTGCTGTAAAATACTCCATTGTGCTACAAATTAGTGAGACATGCTACTCTTTTTTTTTTTTTTAAGATTTTATATATTTATTTGACAGAGAGAGATCACAAGTAGGCAGAGAGGCAGGCAGAGAGAGAGAGAGGAGGAAGCAGGCTTCCTGCTGAGCAGAGAGCCCGATGCGGAGCTTGATCACAAGACCCTGAGATCATGACCTGAGCCGAAGGCAGAGGCTTAACCCACTGAGCCACCCAGGTGCCCCGACATCCTACTCTTGATGGACTTTTACCTTAGCTCCATTTGGAGCTATTAGGAAAAATGATGGTATAAAATCTTATAAGACATCCTATTTAAGAGTTTCTTTGAGGTATATACTGAGAAAAGGAATTCCCGAGTTTTAAGTAATGTGTGTTTTCAACTTTTCTATGTGAAATCAAATTGTTTTCCTCAGCGTTATGGCAGGTAAACTACCACCTTGGGTGTATTTATTTAAAATAGAAATATTTAAATATTTATTCTTTATCTATAATTTATATTGGGATAAATTTGTTTTTATATATGGGATGACTAAAATTACAAAATATTTTTCAAAGATATCTTTATTTTCCCAGCCCAATTTATTGAAAAAAGCAGTTTGTCCCCCACTGGTTTGAATTGCCTCATTTATCATACACTAAATTTTCATATGCCTGAATACACACATACACATACATAAGTCTGTCTTTTCCTGAACTTTTGTTTCATCGATCTATTTATTCCATTGCTAGCACCATACTGTTTTGGTTATAATGCTTTTCTTAACATAATAGGAAAGGTTTGTGGGGGTTTTTTAATACTATTGGCTCAGATATTAATTGCTCCAGTTTATCAAGTTTTAAAAATATTCCTACTGAAGAAACTTGTGGTTTTAGCTAAGATACAGTAGTTCTGTTCTTCCCCAATATTTTCTTTTATAACTCAAAATTTCTGGACATTACAAAATAAACAAGTGTAGAAAGACTCTGACGGTAGGAAAAAGAAATCAGACTTTCTAAGGATTTCAGAACTTGAGGCATAACACAGCAATGAGTTAACTGGGTTTCCTTTTTGTCTCCTATTTAATCTCAAAAGGACACTGATGAAACCCCAATCTGGAAACACCAACAGGCACAGACAAAACAAAACAAAATAAAACAAAAAAACACCTAAGAAAGTTTGTCCTTCAAGCCATAGGACCCAGGACAAGGGTAGACTAACAGAACAAAAGCATTTGGCAATACTCACCTTACTCCAGCCCAATAACAATGGGGAAACTACTTAGCAGCCCCACAGTTTTAGCAGAGCCAAATAGAAAGCTAATCTTCCACCTCATTCCTGCTACCACAGAGGCAGATGGCAAAGCTTTTTTTAAAGATTTTATTTATTTATTTGACAGACAGTGATCATAAGTAGGCAGAGAGGCAGGCAGAGAGAGAGAGAGAGGAGGATGCATGCTCCCTGCTGAGCAGAGAGCCCGATGTGGGACTCGATCCCAGAATCCTGGGATCATGCCCTGAGCCGAAGGCAGAGGCTTAACACACTGAGCCACCCAGGCACCCCCTGGCAAAGCTTTGAATCCCTCTTCTGGTAGTGTTTATTGGCAGAGCTGAGCAGGAAGCTGTTCAGTGGCCACACTCCCACAGAATAGGCAGTGCTCTGATTTCCCTGCTAGGATACTGTAGATAGGGCCTAGTGGGTAGTTGATCTTCCATTAGCTCAGGGAAATAGGGTGTGTTCTGCTTCCTGTAGCAAGATAATTGTTATAATTATTATATTATATATTATATTATTATATATTAATTAATATAATTAATTATAATTAATATTAATTATAATAATAATTGTGGAGTCCAGTAATGAGCTGAGTCTCTACCCCAACCCAGCAGCAGTAAGACTAAAGAGACAGTGCAGGGTGCAGCTACTCACAACTCTCCTTTACCTTCCTTTTCCTGTGTCTCTGCGGCCTATAAGGGAGATGTGATTCCATCCTTGTCTGCATCATTAAGACTGAATGAGATGGGAATAACTGATATTCCATTCTCAGTAAGCGTTAACCTTCTACTTCCCTTCTTGGTGTCAGCAGGGCCCAGCAGGGAGATGAACATCTACCCCTACTATCAATAATGTGGAGCAAGGTGGTGCCCCACTTTTTGCCAGAAAGGTCTTGGCAGGGCTAAAAGAGGACCTAAATTTCTGCCCTACTGTCTTTAATGAAGCAGTATGAATGAGTGCCTCAATTTTGCCAGAGTGGTGTCAGTAGGACCCAGGAAGAAGCTTAACAATATTTATATTGCCCTCATACTATACTATAACAAAGGGATATCTGTTAAAAAAGAAGGTTAAGTAAGCTCTAGAGTCTCATAGTACCCAAAATGTCCTGGGTACAGTAAAAAAAAAAAAAAAAAAAAACATCCTACGAAGAACAGGGAAAATCACTACTTCAGGTTGGGGGGGGGGGACAGTCAACAGATACCAACAAAAATATGAATCAGATGTCAGAATTGTCTGACGAAGATTTCAAGGCAGTTATCATAAAAATGCTCCAACAAACAATTACTAATTTTCTTGAAACAAATGAAGAAAATAGAAATTACGAAAAGGAAAAAATGTTAATTACAGAACTGAAAAGTACAATCACCAGTGTAAACGGCTGACTGGGGGAGGGTGGTGGGAAACAGTTGTGACAAAAGGAAGTGGA